TCACGAAAAATAACCGCGATCCGTGTTTGTTTTACAGGAAAATATCCCGACGAACAAAGAAATTTCCTTCATCGAATTCTCGATTGCAATCCCTCGCAACTCTACATTTATTCTTATATCCTTGCATTTACATTAGAATCATCGGAATAATAACTATTTTCGTGGACAAGATTTGGTTTTTAAAATTTAAATTTATTCGGAGCAAGATTTTTCATCTTCAATACAAAGCTTTGTGTCGCCGTGAACAGCATAACTGCATCAATGAAAGATTGGCTATAATTCAATATGGTATAACCTTGTAAAAAAAGATTGTATAACGATTGAACTGTAAAGATTATAATAGTTCCACTTGGTCTCATTTTAAAGTGTGAAACCTCTTCTTTGACGGTTTGTTTTTTTCTTTCCGAAAATGATAGTTACATCACACGCAGCCTTTATCCCAGAAATTATTAAAATTCAAACGCATGAAAAAAATTGTTTTCAAAGCACTAAAAATTTAGTCATGAAATCCACTATAGTCTTGAAGATTGAAATTTTCTTATAGCTGTGTGACTTTTTATCAAACTTTGAATATCAAGGTTAAACGGCAAGAATTCAAGAAATCCTAACGTTCAAAGTTCAAAATAAAATGATGGAAGGAAAAGCGTACAGCGAGTTTGTTGTAAAGAGGAGATCTTCAATCTTCAAAATGATAGTAAATCTAGCTACGATGCTTTTACACACACGTCTGAATTTTCATGATTCCCGACAAAAAAAAGTTACACGATATAACTTTCTCCCCGCGTCTTTTGACGTTTTCCCATTTGGATAGAATGAATAATCACTTGACTGTGAAAGTAGAAGTTTCGCGCTTTTAAAATGTCGACAGTTTCTCGTTGCCATTGGTACGATGGCACGTTGTATTTCGAGTAACGTTGTATTTTCTCATTCGCGTTTTTCTAGAGGAATCATCGAGCGTAAGATGAGATAAAAAAAAAAAGAGTTCAGAAACTAACCTCAAATTTCCGAAACCAACCAAGGACTAGTAGAATCTTGGTTCACGAATTTGAGAAACGCTGACACGCGAGAGGGAGAGAGAGAGAGAGAGAGAGAGAGAGAAGCGATGGCATCGCAAGGGTGTAAGCTTTAATAAGGGCTGCCGAATTTCACACTGACTTGGTTCGCCGCGAATCCTGAAGGGAAAGGGAAGCTCGGATGGCAAGAGGGGCGGTGCAGAAGGGGTGAGAAAGAGAAAGAGAAAGAGAGAATGCTGCGAGAAGGAAGGGAGAGAATAAATCGGGGGGGAGTTGAAGAACGAAATGGGAAAGGAAGGCGTGCGAGTGATCGGCTAGAATAAAGTCTCGCGTCCTAAGCACCACGGCTCTAAGCGTTTCTCCACGCGGCGCACGCTCGCCTAGCCGATCAACAGCCAGATTATTAGAGTATTAGAACTTGTCTCATAACTCACGAGCCTAATGGTCTTTGACCCGGTCCGCTCGACCATCTCTCGAACATTCTGTATTGCCTTTGACGCAGTCCACGATATATGTGTGTTTTCCTTGCGAACGTTTCTCTTTTCTCTTTCGTCTTCTTCTTCGTTCCTTTCTTTTCTTTTCTTCTTTTTTTTTTTTTTGGATGTTTGGATTGGATGTGAGAGTTGTGTTTCGAGGCTTTCCGATCGAGCGAACCTCAAGGGAGGAAAGTTGTTCCATATCTTTGTTCGTATGTCTCTTCGGCTCTCTTGTTGAAAATCCTCCGACCGAGCACATTGATTTACCTTCCAGAAAAAAATCATTACTTCAATCGAGACTAAATCATTTCCAGAAGATGTTTCTCGTTTGATAACCAAAGGGAATTAATAAAATCATCCTGTCAGATAGACATGGGAAAACTCTCGAGGTATCTTCGAACCAAAAGTTCCAACGAAAAATCCGCAATCCAGCAAGCCGGCATCGAGCCTCGTCCCAGCAGCAGCAGCAGCCTTAAACCGCAGTAAAAATCCGTGGAAACTAGGATCTCGAGGGCCGGTTGGCGGCGAGAGAAGCGAACAGCTGCGCGTTGCGGAGAGCGGCGTTGCGTTGGCGCATTCGTGAGGCTTGCCTCGGCGAGTCGAGCGTTACCACGCACTCGCAACAGGATTGTTTTAATGCCATTTAAACTAATCGAATTAGAGAATGAATCAATGTGACGATACGGAACGATAAAAGAGGGTGGTGTGGACGGAAAGGGGCGGGGAGGGAGAGGAGCGGGATGGGAGCGTTGCGAGGGGACGGGCGGGGGCGGAGGTGGCGGAAGGTTGGATAGGGGGTGGCTGGATGGATACGCAAAAGGGGGCGCATGGATGTGCAACAACAACCCCCGTGCTGCAAACTTCGCAGCTGCCAGGCACAGCGACCGCTCGACCGGAAGTAACGCGACTACTGCCTACTATGTATCTCTCCGTCTCTCCGACCCAACGTCACTCTGCCTTTCTCTCTCTCTCTCTCTCTCTCTCTCTC